TGGAATCTGGCCATTTCATTTACTATTTGCATTCCACTCTGAGTCTGGGAAGATCGCATATTCCAGATGCAGGCCTTCAGGCTGACACACAGCAGAAGGGAGGTACAGTGCAGAAGATCCTCAGCAGTTTGTACATACAGTAGGTATCTCCCTTTCTGTTGCATTGGCCTTTAGTCAATGTCAGAAAGATGTTTCTGTTATATGTAAAAGAGTTGGCTCAGTAGACACCTGTTTCTCAGTTCTACCTGCGTTTATTTATATGCTATAGCACATGGTATACCAGGTTAAGAACAAAGCTGAACTAGAATGTATTTTTTCTAAGCAGGAACTTCTGGGTCTAGCAAGGCATAGTGTACCAAAGACTTCATGTAATTACACAGCTCAGAACATACCACAACATTGCTCAGAGAAAACTATAGACATAAAAATATGTAAAATACAAATGGAATTCATATATTTTATGATTATTCTAAGTTATGAAACAGTAAGATCTCAAATAAACAGGCCTGTTTAATGTTTGTGGTTCTTTGTACACTTTCTGCTTATTGTAAGTACGAAGATGTGCGTCTTGTTAATGAAAGCAATAAACTGAGCAGTGTTATACATAAGGCAGACTGGAAGAGCAACCTTGGCAGAGGAATGGATGCCTGTGGAGCAGAAGCTTGTATTTATCACGTCTGGAACAATTTGGCCTCCGCCTGGCCTCCTGCCCCCTTTGTAATACCCTGCTGTTACTTATTAAAGACACTCCGCAATACGTGTTTTACAGTACAGGCTGAAAAGTAAAATGCTGTAAAAGTAAGATAACTGTTAAAATGTTTCTCTGCAACATATTACTGCTGTTCTTCTAGGATATGCACAGTGCACTTTCTGCCTGTTTATTGTATAGAATGGAAAACAAGAACTGTTCAAACAGAATGGAAGACTGAGGTCAAAGAATGGCTGAACATCACGTCTCACTCAATTCATTCCCCTTACTCACGCTGCACAATCAGACCCAGGGCCCGACACCGGTGGATCGCATTTCAAAAGACCCCAGCTGTTGTGAAACGATCGGTATTTGAAACATACAAATCATTTCAGAAAGCTTCAGTTATTGAGGTATTTGAAATATATTTGCCAGTAGTTTCACACTGCCGTTGTGCCATAATTCTACTTTCTTTTAGACATTTTTTGTCATACGAGACACCATCAAAATGATCATTATTGTATATTCTCCTTAGATATTCAGCCTACAATCTGTAAACTGCTAAAAATATCAGTCTTCTGAGTTTTTGGAAGAAACTGATATACTTCAAAATGGTTCTCTTCTGCTTTGCTTAATCTATAAATTTGATCTATAAAACCATTATATACTATACTCCGTCGTACACATGATCTGTTTTAGTAAATCAGGCGTAACCAATTCTGCTTCTGAAACATGTTAAAACAGTTTGCCTTATGCATAGTCTTCAGGGCATGAAAACATATCTTTTACCACTGACTATCAGACATCAGAGAAGCACCAGTGTGTGGCAGGAAAGTCGGTGGGACACATTCCACAGAAAATCCTTGTTGAAATGCTACTAACTCAGACCTCTGTCAGATAACTGCTGTTCATGATGGCTCTGAGCTGTTGACCCCTGTTCACTGGAATGTGGTCTAATTTGTGATATGCATTAACATCTAAGGAAGCTTCTTCTGCCTGTGAGAAGTCCCAAGAAAATAAATCCTGAACAGAATCAGGAGGCGAAGCAGCAACAACCTAGAACAATGAAGAATTTTATCCCTGTCGTTTCAGTGAACATCAGAATAGAATGCAGAGATGACAGTCCGTGATATGTTTATAATTTACTATAACAACCTTGAGTCAAACAAAATGTAATTGCTTGAAAAGACAGGAATATCACCAAGATAAGCAACATTCTCTAAGGAAAGATTAACCCAGTCCTGTCAAGCCCTCAGGTAACAGTATATCTATTACTTACTGCAGATGTGCCACAACCTCATCAATATGGATAATGTTTAACTTGTCCTTAATGGCTTCAATGTCATCCAAATAGCTGGGGGTTGATGAGAGTCTGGAAAAGGACCTATGTGATAAAATCAGAGTTAATGTCATGTTGAGCAGAAGTGCATTACTAAGGGCAGAAGAGAATATTGTGAATGTACACATTCATTGAAAATTCTATTAATTTCTAAACTAAACTTGACAATGATTGAATTGGGAAAAATTTGAGTATCCGTCGGAATAATTACTTTATAGGTTTAATGTAAAATAAAGTCGGTCTTAAGAAATGGCAATGGTTTATCATAATAGGATGCGAGTTGAGTTGGTTGCACTTGTTATTCCTTACCAAATTACAAATTTGACTGCAAGCAGATGTACTGTTCGGTAGTCGAAGGAAGAAAACTGAATCTGACTTTATTTTAGAAACAAGAGATCATCTCTTAGGTTTGGGTTCCAACCACATTATTTCTGTGTTACACGCTTTTTCTGGGTAAATCTTCGGGTTATATCCTCTCATACCCCAAAGATATTCTGTCCAGATTACTTGATGCCTTTCGAACTACCCTTGCGCCTGTGCGCCTGTGCGCCTGTGCGCCTTTGCGCCTTTGTGCCTGTGCGCCTGTGCGTCTTTGCGTCTTTGCGTCTTTGCGCGCCCTACAAAGGACTGGTATCCTTCTCAGGGCGTAGTCCTCCCTTGTGCACTGTGCATGGTTAGCCTCTGGCTCACCACAATCCTCTAGGGGTAAAGTAGTTTGTGAAAATGGTTGGAGAAGATTGCATATATCTAGAAATATACCAGTATATATAGATGTTGAGACATTGAGACGAAAAGTATTAATTGAAGAAAACTATTACACAAAATTCAATTTCTACATCAGTGTAAGGAGGAGGCCCCATGACAAAAGTACTCCTTGACAAAAGGCTCTTTTATTCCAAGTGCAATGAAAGAATAGTCCCTGCAGCTGGAGAAAGTCTGGAACACTGTGGCTGAATGAAGGTTACTGAATGGGGTCTGAATAATAGGGGAAAGCACTGATTCCAGTATCCAGATCCAGTACTTTCATAGAATTACTCCTCACTGTTGAGCTCTGTAGGAGAGGACAGCCTTAAAAAAATCAGTGTTTTAAAGCTGATGAGCATGTTAGAGATGGGCTAAAAGGCAGAACATTTTTTTAGTGAACTGGGTGAATTCCTCATTACAATGCATATTTGAGCAGTGCTGTTCGTATGCTTTTGCAGATGTACACTAATGCGCCTGTATACAAAGTCTTCAACTGACAATCCTTCAAGCTACCTGGTATTCGCCATTCAAAAACAGATAAATTAAACACACTTCAAAATCTGACTCAAGAACAATGAGCATCCATTGTTATGAGGAGCAAGGTATATAATAAAACATGACAAAATGTAACACCTGCACACTTATTTCAAATGTTCCATCAAATGTGTGTGATTTTAAACACACTCATTCAGCATTTTAAAAAACTTGAAGAAAACTGAAAGAAATCCTAATCAGTCTGCAGTGTTGAAATATTTTGGAGCAACTCAAATAAGTGGGTAAGCATTACATTTTCATCAGCGAATGTTATCTTGAAATGATTATTTAGGTGTTGAAAGCGCGCCCAATGGCACTGGGACTGACCGCACTTCCTCACTGCTGTTGGCACTCTGGGGCCTGCTGGGTAGTTGCTGTCTGCCATCATGACTCCTTGCACTCCTCGGTCCCTGCAGCTCATGGCTTGAAGTGCTGGTGCCCAGTATGTAGCTCACGACGTCAGGGCTGTAGCGCAACAGGGCTTTGTTTCCATCCCTAAACACAAGATGGACAGAGATCTAAATGATGAACAACAACCCCAACACTGGTGGCAGTGTACCTTCTGATGGACAGCCCAGAAAGGGGGTTTTGTGGTTTTGTGAGAGCGAGGTTAAAAAGTAGATAAAGCCTTTGACTGTACATGAGTAGAAACCAGTTCTCAACTTTGAAGTGCATTGACTGCAGCACATAAGATTTCTTTGTCCACCATAACAGTCTGCCTTACAGATTCTGATGCATGCTTCATTTTTAACCAAATTCCACTATAGAAATAGCTTGTGTAGAGTAAAAGACAAAAAGCAGAATACCATTAAACTTTGAACCTTTGATTTTATATACTTGATTTGAAGTGACTGATTCCTTTACCTAGAAATGTCAGGAATTAAAAACATTTTGCTTAATTTACCCTGGTTACCTCTCAGCAGTATTCAGAATCTACCTGTTCATCAAAAAATCAGGTGTGGGACAGATTAAAGGAGAAGCCAGCAGCCCAGAGCCTTTCAATGCTACTGTAACACTTTAATTCATTCTTTGCCAGGTTTAATAGCCCGAGGGAAAGAGTGGAGAGATGAGGACAGATCTGTATCGAGTTGAAAAGGGGGGGAGGAGGATTAAGAGGAGTCATTCATTTGAAAAGTCTCACACCACTGCCTCAAAACAACTCCCATTCATTGACAGTGTTTTAATAGCCAGCAACCAGCTAGGGCAGCTGCCAAGGACAGAGTGACCTCCTCCGTGCCTGTGCTTAACCTCTTCCACCACTCCTCAAGTCCGAACTCAGCTCTAGAATACAGCAGGTGCATCACGGTCACAGTACAGTAGTTTACAGAGGCAGCAGCCGCAGAAACGCCACTAATGAGAATCCTGTGAACTAAGATCACAATACAAAACGGAAACTTGCAAGTGCTCGGAAGGTTTTGCATAGTCAAAAATGTCCAAAAACAATTACAAGACATCATGTAATAAACAGAAATCCATTCATTTATACAAAGATGACATAATCAATATCATAATGGCCATTTACTTTTAAGAGTATTACAAGCTCTTGGAACTGCACGTATGAATGGCACATTTTAACACAAAAAGTGGTTGTTGCCTTAAAAAAAATATATTTTGAATTAGATTTTACTTTGAAGGCTAGGTGCAAGTTGTGCACGGAAGAAGTACTCTCTCCAGTATAATGGGTGTGCAAACATTTGTCCTTTTTCACATTTGTCGTGCTTATTTATGTAAATTTTATTAAGTGAGCTTGAGTCATTTTTTACCCGTTATATTTATCAAACGCAAAGTCCCAGAGCCATTTTATTTTATTTACATATTAACATAATATATCGTTTATATCTGCCATGTAGCGTTAACGTATCTTTCTTCCATAATACTTGGTCCGTACTAACATGTGAAAACACTGTTGTCCAGACAGTTGTTTTTACAAGAGGATGACAATATGTCAGGTCAAGGTACAAAAAGCCGCAGGGATGCTGCACTTCGTGGCTTTGGGCTGAGTGACCTGCCCTGCCTGAATCACATTACAGAGGCAAGGGAGGATAAATGGGACAATCACTTAACAATGAGCTCATTGTGACTTGCCTCCCAGCAGAACACTGAGCAGCTCACAAGTGCACACAGCAAACCAGGGAGCCCCAATCTTTTCAACAAGGCACTCAGTTCAACTACATCCAAAAGAAAAAGTACAAAAACAATGTTGCACTTCGACAATTTTTTTTTCTTATTTTCTGCACACTATATAATTCTCTATTTAGTTCTCAAGCATATGTTTACAAAGCTGTCTAACGAGAACACTGCATTTCCAGAGAATCGGCTTTAGCACATTAACGTACTGTATTGAGAAAGATGCCAGGCCACCTTGTTTCGGCTTAACAGATCAAATCGGCAACACAACAGGAGAAAGGACCACACAAGATGTATGGTACACAAGCTGTATTCGACACCTTGTTCCCAAGACCAGGTTTGAGAAATCGAAAACAGTCCTCTTTCAAACTGATTCCAGCAGAATGTGCTTCTGACAATTTGATAACTGACAAATTTGACTGTATTTTCCTCTTTTATTTATCTGTATAAGTCTGCTTAGAAATGGTGATGCCACTAAGTCTAAGTCATACACATACACACAAAATAAGTAATTCCTTAATAAATAGGCACCACTTTCTTCAACCTGTAAAATTTAAAACATTGTGTATCTTTGAAGGGATCAACACAACGAAACCAAATCATGTGGGATAAGATTAAAGAGAAATTGTGAGGTTTTGTACAAGAATACCTGAAATCTGTGATCAGCTCTCAAACTCATGCGCATGCAAACTTATTAAAGCTGACCCTGAAACACTTAGCACTTATGATGAATACAGTGAAAACGATGTGACAGTAGAAGAAAGGGTTTATGATGCAGGTACAAAATGGCAGCATGGAGGATTTTATTTTCAGGAATGTAGGAAAATAGGAAGCCTGTCCTTGTTTTTGTATTTTTCACTGTACTGACAGTATTTCTGGTTCGAGAATTTGTAGTACCTTACTGTTTTTCAAAATTAATTGAAACAAACAAATGATAATAGAATAGTTTACGGTGATAGTTGTAAAAATAGATCCCCTGACACTGTAGGCATTAAAGGTTTTGAGACACCTTTTATCCTTAATCAACGGGCAAATCCAACATGCCACACTCTCAGACCACTAGTTAGTGTTCAGGATTTGTGGTGCTATCATTTAAACAGTTCAAACAAAACAGAACAAACAGAAAGAAAATCCTTTTTTTCTACAAATGACTCAGAATGAGCATTAAAAAGACAATAATTGGTCAAGAAGATGCATGCTTTTGGTGGTCCAGCCAGTTACTGAGAAATGACCACACTCAGCGTAGATTAGGTTTCTATAGTACCTGTGAATGACTCCACTCTGCAGTATGAAAACAGGCAGCTGAGTGCATTTTTGTGATGGGTCACATAGGGGACCCTTAATTGTTCTTTATATTTATGGGCACATCCTCAGGGATCTCATAAAGACACCTAATGTTGAGGCTCCATGCCTCTGTTAATTGAAAACATAGTTTTGTCCAAATTATGCTTATCTCAGCTTCATTATAGAGTTCACATTACTGCATCAAAAATAAATGTTTTGTACTTCTAAACAGCAAAAAAAATAATGAAAAGATTTTGTAAGACCCATAAAGTCTTTCATACAAGGAGCTAGATGATAGGGAATATATTTTGCAGCTTCTGGTCTCAAAGAAAACCGAACAACTTCCTCCTAGACAATAAAACGGATAGCAGTTTGTGTAGAAATGGAAAATTCACACTGAGTAACACCACGCAAAAACAAGGCATCTCCCTTCCAAACTGTAGTTCGGTTCATCAAAACACTGCCGGTATGTTTTAGAACATCCTACCTTTTAGAAATTATAGTCTGCAGGCAGAAGTCTGATGCAAGGAAGGACTAAAGGTAGGATCGTGCAATTGCATGTGACAACTATTATTTCCACTTTTTTAAGGAGCAGTGACCATACATATTAAATGCTTTCAAATTTTAAAGCTAAACACATGTTGCAGAATGATCTTCAGTCTGTCTGTAAAGTCTCTGTGTTATTAAAAACATCACACAAATAACACTGTCTATTGTATGCATCATCATCTGATTACAGCGACATATACAATACCTTCAGAAAAAGCTGTATTTGCTGCAAAATAGGATTAAAACATAGCTACACGTTAAGTGCTGTGAACCCCAAAATACAGTATATCTCCTTTTAACATTTGTTTTGTTCAAAGCTCTAACAATATGAAAAATGATTATATTAAATTAAATTGTACTTATCAATCAATAAACATCATATTAATCTTAAAATGAATTGATTGCTTACAAAAATTAAGAGTTTTCACCATTGTGAAAATACTTGATAACATTGTAATGCTAAACCACCTGTCTTTGTTTTGAAGTACTGTATTGTACTTCTACTTACGGGGGTTGAAGCATTCCTGAGAATAATAAAATAACCGGTACACCTAAAGCAAAATACAGCTATAACTCGGCTTTCCAAATGCATTTAGTTAATAAACATCTGTTTTTCATGTGTGCCACATGTGAATGAGATACAGTATTTTAAAACCTTTGTGGTTGGCTAATGGGAACCAGGGATCAAAGAGAATTTAGAGTAGCCATGCAAAACTAGCTTGCATGTCTTTAGGAGGAGGAGGAAACCAGAGAATCAGAAGAAAGCATGCAAGCTTCACACAGACAGGTACTCCAGCACAGAATCAAACTGAGGACCCTTGAACTGTGAGCCAGTACTGCTAAATACACCACCACTTTGCTGTCCAGAGGCTAAGTGAAATGTACTTGTAAGCACTCTCTTTAATTTATAAATTGAGTACATCTAGTACATGTGTACATTATTTTGAAGTTTCACAATATTTAAACATGTTTTACAACAAGACTTAGGTTAGGAAGAGTCAGAGTTCTAACTGAAAATCAAGAAGAAAGGATCCAACAGAAGTTCTCACCCTAAGAAGAAAACCGGCACACTAAGTTTGAAAAATGGGGAAACTGAAGTCTGAGGAACATTCCACAGTTCACTGCCATGCTATTCACTTGCAGTTAAAACAAATTGTCTCTCTGGAGTATTAAAATGTCAACATGAACTGTAGCTGAACTAAGTCATGCTATTTTCTCTCTCATGCCCAGTACAGAAAGCCAGTATAGTCATTAGGCTATCAATTGATCTAAAGCTTGCTACAGTACTTAGGATTCCAGTCTGATTACAAGGCTGGTTTTTGTACTTGTGGTTCAACAACCGTTGAAAGGCAAAAATACAGAGATACCTTAATCCTGAGAAACACAATAGCGAACCAGCCTCCCTAGTTTTCTCTGATTGTTAAATATTTAGATATAGTTTAAGACTTTGGAGAAAGACTGAAAGAAAAAATAAGCCAAAACTACATTAAACAAGGATTTCTTCAGTTGTCATGCAGCCAACAGTTGAATATAGGGGGGATATAATGTCAAGCAATGCATTGGACAATCAAGAGAGAAGAGGCTTTTGAAAAGGAAAATTGGTCATAGATTGTGCTTTCATTCCATGAAAAATTGAACTGAGGAGTAAAAAGGAAAAAGAGATTCTGGTCCAGGTCTGCTGCCTTACCTCCCCTGTTCAGACGCCTTCTCTTGGATGTTAAGCAGAAGCAGACGTATCTCCTGCTTGAGCATCTCTCTGACAGCAGGGGGATCCGCAAGGACCGACCTGGGTGCATGAGCCTTGGGCTGTCTGTCATGCTGAGATCTTGCATCTCGCCAGATCCCCAACCACGCCTCTGCCTATTTGAGCCGAAGAGATAAGGGCATGAGCTGACAGACTGCAGAGTGTCATCAGTCAGATGTGTTCTGCTTTGGCACACAAACCAACCCATATGGAGGATGGAAATTCTTCTTTTATTGATCCATAACCATGTGAAACTAGGACATGCTCACCTTTGTGATTTTCTACAAGAAGATAAAAATATGAAACCTACATGATCAAGACCTATGTTTCCTGTCTATTGATGCTGAAACAGCTGCATTGATCACAATATATGTTTTGCCCTAACATTTTCAGATGCTGAATTCTGAGTTTGCACTTGAAGTATGAATGTCCAAAGCTTTTGTTTATTTTCCTTTCAACAGAAAAGCAATTTGAGAACATTAACTAGCGCATGAGAATGCAGAGAGATAGTCTAAACTTTTTATTACCAGCAGGAAACACACAACTGTAGACTTTGCGAACAAATCAAGTTGTTTAAGAGTCACGAGCTCTCATTAAAAAAGTAGTCTATATAAAGCCGTGGCAACTCTGAGACCACAGATCTGGAGTCTATTACTGCTGTCTGCACCTGAACAGCTGAGATTAATTTAAACTCAGATAGAGGCCCAGAGATATACATCAAAGTCCCAGCTATCCTGAGGGAATATTAAACTAGTTCCTTGTGTATTTCAAGTCTGTGGTACGTTCACACAACACTCCATCACTCACCTACTGAAGTCTCTGCTGGGCACTTTCCAAGTGCTGTTTTCACACACACAGACAAAGCCAGATTTTTACTCTGTGAGCTCCAAGTTCTGTTTTTTGAGTGACAACATTTTTTTGTGATGCTTATATTTTTATAATCAAGATAAAAAACAAGATCAACGCTTTCAATGCACTCCAGCACTGTCTAAACAAATCCTGTCTCGTGAGTTTTCATGTAAAGACGTTTCTTAAATGCCACAGTTCCAAATATAAGTAACATATCTATTCAACTAATCTGGAGAGGACATATAAAATATTTTACTGCGTGTTTTTTTTTTCAATAAGAGAAAAAAATTGACCACCGATCAATTCGAAAACAATTTTTACAATGTTACTATATTCAATCCATTTCATGGCTCTATTGACTTAGTAATACATATTTGTGGTTAATGTGAAAACAATAGACAATTTTTCTTTTCTAAGTGAAATGCCATTTAAAAAATTATCCATTATCCAAAGTCAATCTAAAATCAATCCAGCTGGATGTTATACTGATATATCTAGCTTTGGATAAGATTAAGATGAGAATATTTGGTGAATTTCAAATTCAGACTGTATCAAGAATCAAATTTAAATCAAAATGTATGAAAACATAGCTCAGAGATAAAAAAAAGACAGTTAATATCCTTGTGTTTGAAAATTAAATATGAACTATTATTCAAAGATATATCTCCAGGTTCTTTTGTTTTATCAGTATATAACTCAGTGCTTAATAAAAAGAGTGTGTGCTGGTGTTAAGAAACCCATGGTGACAATTTAGTCTTCAGCTCAAACGGGAGATTATCACTGAGCTGCCTGGTCTGTGGCCAATTTTATATCAGTGTGCCGTTAAGAAAGCAGAACTGCATTTTTATAAAATATGATAAGATCAAGTCCAAAACATTTGATTGTTTTTGGGACTGCCTGGAATCCAACAAAAAGAGGAAAGCAGTGACTTCATATCCTGTGTTTAATGTTAGAGTTGAAATATTTTCTGCGACCCTCCTGTTCAGACTCAGGTTGTGATCCTGATGGAGCAGGCTGTGTAATACTACTCTATGCTCCTAGTTTGCAGGTTTGCCATAGAAGGAAGTCACTCATTAGAGGGGTGAGAACATGAGATAACAGTGAAAACGAATAGAACCCTTTGCTGCTACTTAAAACACTGTAAAATCAATCCTAAGGGAAAATGTACTAGAAATATTAATATTACAAGTTCAATTAGTACTGTTATCTCTCTATCCAAATTATACATAAAAAGGCACCTCCAACACTACATTTGTGTATTTTTAAACACGCCATCTTAACTAGCCAATACAACTAATTCCTTCCACTTATATAGCACTTTTCTGGACACTCCACTCAAAGAGCTTTTCCAGTAATGGGACTCCCCTCCACCACCATCAATGTGTAGCCCTACCCGGATGATCTGATGGCAGCCAGAGTGCGCCACTACACTCGCCAGACACCAGCTCTCAGGGGGGAGGAGAACAGGGTGAGGAAGCCAGTTCATGGATGTGGATTATTAGGAGGCCATGACTGGTAACAGCCAATGGGAAATTTAGCCAAGACACCGGGGTAACATTCCTACTCTTTTTGAGAAATGCGCAGG